ACAGTGGGCCAAAATAAAAAAATCATTATTGGTCGAGGGCCGGACTGGTTCAATGTTTATTGCAAAACTTATTGCACATATTAAACCTGGAACTAACAAAGCTTAAATTATTGCCTATAAAAACAACATTAAATAATCAGCTGCATTCATTTCTTGTGGCCATATCTGAGTCATTTCTTATGATTACATTTTTCCACAGGCCAACAACAGCTTCAACAAAACTATTCCCCTCAAAGAACAAACCAAACATGCCCTGTTGTCGTGAGAGAAAAAGTGCAGAAGGAAACATCCATTAAACTCAGTGTGCTGCTGTGATGCTAGTTCAAGCCAGAGACTTGGCATCTCATCTCGGGTGCAAGGTCATCAATGTTTGGGCTCAGGCTCTGAGCTGAGGACACCCTCAGGATTGAGTGAAGGTGTGCGTGCAAAATACCAGCGGGCCAGACCTAAAGTAATTAAAAATGATCCTGCGGGCCGAAATTAAATCCACCAAGGGCCTGATTTGGCCCCCGGGCCTTGAGTTTGACACATGTGCTTTAGCCCCATAAAGGATAGATGTATAATGTAGAAGCCCCTTTCCATGTGGGTATGCTTCTCCACTACATCTATTATCCTTTTTTACTAAATTTGGCTTCACGCACTTTCATTCTTACTCCATTCCTTCAACCAAATCTGGTGTTTTATATAAGAATTGTTCCTTTTTAAACTAAATGGGGAAGTGTTCAAAGTTTATACAAAGTTGATCCTCCAGTTAAAGCTAAATCAAGTGTTTAAAAAGGCCCCTTGGATCAGCTAGAAATGCATTCTCACAAAGATGAAAACATCAGTCCAAAAACATCATATCATTTGTTTGTTTGTTTGTTCACAACATGTAAAGCGGCCTTGGGTCCCTTGAAAGGCGCTATAATAAATGTAATTTATTATTATTATTATTATTATTATAATAACAATTAGGTGATAGCAATATTATATATATTTTTTTTTTCTCTGGTGAGATTTTGAATGCAGGACATTTGCTCGTAATGTAGTATTCTTAAAGGGCGGTACTTCACTGAAGGATTTGAAAATATCTACCTGATGATGTTTTATTACTGTACAGCTGTAAGTCAGATGTTGGGTAACACAAAATCAACCTTTCTGATCTTTCCATCTGGTCCTCAGGAGAGATGGCCAAGCAGATGAAAGTCAAGAAACTGAAGAACCTCAAAACTCTGGACTCTAAACCCGGTAAATGCTCGATAGGCTCAGTCTGGTGTGTTTTTCAGTACAAGTATTTCACTTTGAATGTGAAGCTACTCAACAGTGTGCAACTCTTTCACAATAATCACATTTATGAGGCAGCTGTCCACCAGAGGGAGCTGTTGAGTTCAGTCAGTCTCTTTGTGTTGCAGGTGTGTACACTGCATATAAGCCATATCTTAACAGAGATGAAGACATCATCAAACAGCTTCAGAAGGTAACACACAAGGACACTGACATCTATTGTTGGCCAATATTCCGTTTTTGGGGTAAAATATCTGGTGGTTCAAACAAATCCTCCTTTTTCCTGTCCAGATCCCTCACACTGAATCTGAGTTTGTGGGCCTTTTCAGTGTTTTTCTATCTCGTGTAGTGCTGGAGTTACAGTTGTAAAAAAGGAGAGCAGCCTCATATTTCATTCATTATGTTTTTTTGTTTTTAGGGTGTTCAACAAAAGAGACCCTCAGCGGCCCAAAACGCAATTCTTCGACGCTACTTCTTAGAACTGACACAAAGCTTCATCATTCCCCTGGTAACAAACAATACCTTTTATTCTATCTTCTCACTTGTGCAAATGTTATTATTGTGTAATAGTGACGTCGTTTTGTCTTTGTCAAAAATAGGTTTAAAACAACCATATTGAACTTGCATGTTACAGTATTGTGTTTTTTTTATATGATTTTTTACTTTTGCAGAACCTGATGATTTTACTCTCCATTACCATGAGTATTGTTATGCACCACAATACCATGGACAAATCATTTCCTGTGAAAATAGTGCTGATTTAATAGGATTTAACAGCGTGTATTTGTGCGTTTCAGGAGCGATACGTGGCGAGTCTGATGCCGCTCCAGAAGACCATCAGTCCCTGGAAGAGTCCTCCTCAACTGAGAGCGTTCGTCTCGCAGGACTTCATGAAGACGCTGGAGAAAGCTGGACCTCAGCTCACATCCAGGCTGAAAGGGGACTGGATAGGACTCTACAGGTGTGCACGCATGCAAAGCCTCCAATTAAAGACAGTTCTTTTTTATCATTTATTGTTTTAAAGTTCATCACACTCAGGTTTACATATACACAGCCAAATAATTTAAATTGTAAGAGAAGAGCAATGAGAGCAAAACTATTGTAATAACTTTCCAAAATCTTTACTATAAATACACAACAAATAAAATACAATAAGAGTATGATGTATTTCTGTGAATAGAAATATGTGCAGTATATTTGAATACAAATGTAGGTCAGAAGGAAAACTTCCTATTATTGAAACCTATCTTTTAAAAAGCAGTCTTTCAATGAACGGATTAGAGAGGAGTATTACAAATTGATAGCAGAGAAGCACATCACCACCCTGAGCATCTTGTGGACTCATGGTCCTTTCCCTCTGCGTCTGAAGGAATTTCCTCAAGTCTCCCAACTTTGACGGCTGGTTCCGCAACAGGAGGAGAGAGATGACCCAGAAACTGGAGGCTCTACACCTGGAGGCGCTGTGTGAGGAGGTGAGGAGGGAGGGAGGGAGGGAGGGAGTGTGAAGATCGAGTACAGTCGGTGATTTTGTCTCGATTGTAAATCAATCAAAGTAGGCTTTCAAATTTGATCCTCGGAAGAGAAAATGCTGAAAAAATCACTTATCCTGCTTTAATTAGTCTCTGAAATATCTCACCCTCTGTTCTAGGACCTGCAGCAGAGAGTCCAGATGCACTCGGAGGTGGAGACGGTAGACCTGGTTCTGAAGCTGAAAGATAAACTGGTCAGTACAGAACTCAACCAAAGCTCTTATCAATGCATCACTATGGATTTCAAATTACTTGTACTAATAGAATGAACTATTCTCGGCTGCAGACTCAGGCGGAGAGGGAGCAGCTCCCCGTGCGTCCGGGGACCGTGGCCAAGCTGAGAGCCCACATTGATGCCGTCATCCTGGCCCTCCCAGAGGACCTGCAGGGCATCCTCCACAAGCCCTCCACACCCTGACCCTTTCTCCGTGCTCTGCAACTATAACCCCAGTATGAGCTTGTTTTAAAGTTTGAGGGGTAGTGGGTCTCTTCCCAATTGGCTCCCAGGGTCGGTGAAGGGCCCCCCAGGCTACTCTGGCCGGGCCCAGTGTGAGGATCTCATCTGGTCTTGCATTGAAAGCACACAGCAAGTTGTTGTTTCCTCAAATATACATTCAACCTTTAGGTTTATTTACAAATGTTTTTCTCAATTTGCTCCCACGGCGGCTCAGTGGGATTCAGACTGAACCCATCCCTCACGTCTTGGTGATCGTGGGGCGTTCAAATGACCAGCAGGAGGAGGCCGAGGAGCGCCATATAAACTCCTCCTTTCAGGAGGTGAAGCAAGCAATTAAAAAAAGTTGAGGAGGTTTATCGTCCTGGTGACTTTAAGTAAAGAACAGGAGCGCTTGATTTGTCACGAATTTGCTCTCGCAACATGCAGCGTAATACCAGAGCCTCTTCTGTGTGCAGAATGATTTGAAGGTAGGAGCAAGGAGACGAACCCAGCTGACCTTTGACCCTCAGCATTTTTACCTCTTGAGGTTTTTACTTTTTTAAATTTGACAATATGTGGAATTGACTCTTTCCAACCATTTAAATATAACCAAAAGGTTTTTTTAAAGAAGTGCACTTCATCGCTCCCTGGAGCAGTGTGCCCCACACACACACACACACACACACACACACACACACACACACACACACACACACACACACACACACACACACAGACACTCTCATGCATTTTTACAAACAAGCTGAGCTGAGCAGAGCCAAGCCAAGCAGTGCTTTATTACGACACACACACAGAGCATTAAGCACCAGCAGCGACCCTGTAATAACCACATGTCCATGCGGTATAACGATTATTGTATTGTTTTGTGTTGTCAGCAGCCAATCACATCCATGTATACCTGTCACATGATCTTATCAGAACTTTCTGAGGGAAACATTTCAAATTGTCCTGAGATGTTCAGAAATCTTGCCGTGGGTCATTGCCATTAGATGTGTATTTTTTGGAAAACTGAATCCAAACTTTTAGTCTTTAAAGAAACAAAAGAAAGTATTTCGCCCAACTGTAAAACTATAAAATCCCAGTTTGCAAAGAAGCTTATAAAATGTTTGAGATAAAATTATAAGACAGTTAAATATACTAAATGTAAGACGCTATGTTTAATATTTTGAATTATGAGATGTTAAGTCCTGATTTTGGATTTTAAATTGAAAACTCAGAAGTTGTAAATATTAAGAAATGTTTTTGTGAAAGTCAAAATGTGTGCACATGAGTTTGTGAAGAGGGAATTCCAGTCAAGTTGGAGAAAAAGTAAAGAACGCTTACAAAATTCTCAATTTCTGGAGTACATTGCTGGCTTTATTTTTATTTTTAAATAACCAAAACTAAATAATTCTGTCATCATAAATGAAGCATTATTTATTTTCATACATTATTCAGAGCGTCAGTCATCCTCCATCTCCTAGACTTTCCAGTAAGGAAACATTCTGGAAATTGGGGGAATACACAACAACAAAGAAAGCAGGTTAAGAAAAGACATATTTCTGAGTTTAGTAACCATTATGGATTCTTGTGTGCATTCAACAAACGCTACAGCTAGCATTGTTAAAACTGAGCGTTATGATTTGGGCTAAAAGGATGCTGGTGCCTTACTGTACAGGAGTGAGAGCAACACATACTTGATGAATGAATCTCACTCGAGCTCCTGTAAAGATGTCCTGAGCTTATTTAGCTTAAGCTCAAGGCTCAATGATTGTTTTTACTAAATAAATTGACTTGCTGAAGAAACGCTTCTGACAAACACTCTGATCAGGCATCTTGCTCAGGATCTTTGCCTTCAGACCAAAACCATGGCTGAAGTGTGTTATTTATTTATTTTTTGGATAAAACAAGTAACTACACAGATGCATTGTTTAAACTTCAAATCTAAAAAGAGAAAGTACAAGTACCCCAACAAATGATTGTCTAATATAGGAATAATAAGCACTGCTGGGTCTTTTACAGCTGCGTGTTTGAATTAATAACTACTTATTATATTCCATTGACATAGAAACACTTCAGACTAGATTTTTGGATTCAGTGGTTTCAGGAAAAAATCAATTCAATCATGTTTACAGAACTATAGTTGAACAATGACAGGTTAATGTTACTGGCCATTTATTAGAATAATTGAATAAGATCTTGCAGCTGGCTAAATTGTACACGTCATGGACATTCCTGGGCACCTAACAATGTAAAACATTAACAAAAAGTATCTATAATGAGAGCAATAACAGGGCATTTAACTGAATACGGTTATTTGTATTTTCAGAGTGTGTTGACGTATAAGCATTTTCTAAAACTGTAATTAGTGGTCTCACATGACTGCAATTACAGTAAGTGTGTGTGCTTTTCAAAATACCACTTGTTTCAAAAATGTTAAATGGACCTCTTGTCAAACATATGGATTGAGTTTTTTTCCTTTAAGCCTTCATGTAAAACATGTTGTATACAGTAAATGCTGTCTTGCAGATAATTGCTAAGAAAAATAACTAAAGGATGTGATGGTTGAAAAAACCTGTGGCATCTGGGCAGCCATGTAAGTTTTATATTTGTAAAGAAAACTTTTATTTTATTTTATGGAGGGCTAATCTCATATTCCACATTACTAATTGTAGATAATTCAGAGTTTTGTACATGATGGTGTAAAGCGGAATGGTGGCCCAGATGTATGTACAATAATTATTTTGCTATTACAACAGATTATAAATAGTGATGCTCCATACAATTGTAATTCACCTTTCTTAGGCTGATAAAAAAACGATATTGAGACACCTTGACATTCTGAATTTGTGGTATTTTCTAGTTATAAGATTTCGGCTGAGCCTAAAATATTGTGATTATAATCCCAGAAAAATATCAGAAAATTAAGCAAAATGGTGATTATGATTTGATACAGTACGTTTGAGGTTAAAACACGAGATGATGGGCAAGAGCAAAAACACCTATTTGATTTTTACGTGATCTGACAGGCATTGACTTTGTCCCGAAAAACAGGTAGAGAATCTTCAGACCTTTTACCTAAATGAAGTATTACTACAACATTTTACCATATTAAAAGTAACACTACTAATTACTAAAGCACAGTTGTTGTTTTCTTTCAGTCTTCAACTTTTCCATTTAACAGGAATACATCTTTTTTTTTTTATTCCATGGTATAACTTCTATCAAATTATTTAGATTGTTACATTAAATAAGACACTACAAATTCATAATGTCACCCTAAACTAAATAAGAGCCCATCATGTTGCATAGCTACACATTTGACTGAAACGTCACTGTCTTTATTGAAGCCACTACTACTTAACCACTAAGGACCTGAAGGACCCCGGTTTTAATAAAAGTATTAATAGTGTTATATGGACATGTATGAAATGACTCTTGTTTTCACATGATGGCCTACAGCTTGCTTTGTTTTGTAAGCATATTAAAATATGTATCAGTCTTTTGTTTACTTTATTGTAACTTGAACCTGTTCAAATATACTTACTGAGTATATTTCAGGACGTTGTTTGTTTGCTTGATTGCTTTATAAAGTATTACAATGAAAACAATCAAACACTGGCATTTTTTTACATTTTGGAAGTTTCATCTAGCTAGCTTCAAGAGTCTGGAGTATTATAATTCAAATTGTAATATTTAGGCCCGTTGTTTGCACTGCTAACGTTAGCTCAGTTAGCTAAGCTGTTTCTATAGCTTGGTCAACATTAATAGCACAAATTTCTCCGCTTTGTGTAGGCCTATTTATTGTAGTTTTCAAATCACATTTTCCCAAGAGCATTCTTTCAGGTTCTGATCATCAATTTGATTTTCTAATTATTATTTTCTATCTTAAATTTGAATGCATTATCTTGCTTGTCTTATACAGAGAGCATTGGTTTTGTTAGAAGGTTTTAGGGTTATACGATATCTCAGGAGCAACTGGACGTAATTTCTACAAATTTGGCACAAACATCGATTTAGACTTAAGGATGAAAATGAGAAAGTGAATACGATTTGGAGAAACATGGATGTAAGCTGTGACTTGACTGGGTGGTGGAGGAATATAACCAGAAGGTGGATTTACAAATAAACATATTCCCATCATGTTAAACTGTTAGAAATACAGAGGTAAAAAGTAAAGCATGTTAGTAAAAGCTTGAAATAATGATTAATTCCA